AGCCAATCGCTGATGTGTGCACTGGGTGATTGGTCATCTGAGTCACATGGTGTGATTTCTTCTGCCTGATTGGGTGACTCATGGGGGAATTTCAAGATGGCAGTGGGCAAGGGGCTGAGACTCGGGAGACCGGATTCAATGCCTGGCTCTGCTGCAGACACCTTGGGTGACCCACTTCAACTGTCTGTGCCTCAGTTTCCCCATCTATAAAGCGGGGGCAATGATCCCTCCCAGCCTTCCAGGGATGTTGTGAGGGGAAGCCATGGACTCCCAGACTCGACAACAATGGAGGCTGAGTAAGGACCCAGACAGACAGACGTTCTTGCTTCTCCGGTGGTACCCAGGGCTCTCCAAACACCTCGAAGACTGAAGGGCTGTTGTGGTTTTGCTGTTTCCTGTTGCTGACCCACCATTGGTGCCCGCAGTGGGATTCCATCCAATGAGCAGCATGGTGCCTGAGACCCTCCTGATTGAAGCAGCAGCAATTTATGTGGCAACAGCAACCCCACCTGCAGCAGTTTACACGGCTGGCATTCATTCTCCCTGTTTCATGTACCACGGGCCGCTAATCCCAGAGATCTGCTGCAGCTGGCATTCTATCCATGTGTACACAGACTGACTGCCCGGTTCCGCCTCCAAACGCCTCCCACCTGCAACCTGTGCTTCTCCCTCTGAGTTCCAGGCAGGTTTCTCCACTGCCAGGCCAGAGTCTCTCAGGAAAGCAAGGGCCGTGGGGCTGCCCAACTCTAGAAGCCGGAGCAATGGGCCCCACTCAGGCCCTTTGATTGCCTTGGGCGGGGGGAGCTGGTAGTGCCAAGGGATGCCATTAGATATTAGTGAAAGAAAGTGGTTCGCCTTGCCCACCCAGTGCCCCAAGGCCACCCCTGTTGTGGGACAGATTGGCACAACTCGGGGGGAATGAGTTACTTGCCGTGTCCAGGTGGGCATCCCCAAGGAACGCCAAACCACCAAGGAACTTACGTCTTAAGCGCGGCTTGTTTCCTTCAGCATGCTGGGGGTTAACGTAGCCCCTTCCTTGGGCCCCTGAGGCGGGAACAGAGAAACAGCCCCCGTTACCTGGGCCTGTGGAGGGGGAAGGGCTCGCTTATTTGCTTAGACTTTTTGTGTTTTCCCCCTTAATCCTGCATTGTCTGCAGCGGCTACCTTTTTCTTGGGATAGTTCTACCTATAATTGTCTGCGGTCTTTAGCAGCTAAATAGCATCTGGATATGAAGGTAATCGAGGCTTTTAAAACGACTTTCAATAAACCCTGAATTTGTATTTGCTTCTTTCTTAGTAGCTGAAATCCTGCTAGTGTAGGTTTCAGAGCAGCAGCCGCGTTAGTCTGTAGCCGCAAAAAGAACAGGAGTCCTTGTGGCACCTTAGAAACTAACACATTTATTTGAGCATAAGCTTTCGTGGGCTACAGCCCACTTCTTCGGCTGCATAGACTGGAAGACACAGAAAGAAGTCGTGTATTCGTGCTTGGCTGGTGCGAAGCCAGCGCTGCGGATTTATACCAGCTGAGGATCCGGCCCTCTAATTAATTCAGACTTGAGAGCGTGCGGCTAATTTGAAGCAAATCATTTGTTCAATTGATTTCCCCTTTGGTTCCCCTATTAGTGGACTGTCTGTGAAGAGACTGTGAAATTCGTTAATTTATTTATTGTTCAAAATTATTCAAATTTCTCCGGCCGATAATTTTGGCAGACTGGTCCCAAGTTGCCAGTTGCAGAGGTTTGTTAATTGCATTGTGTGAGTTAATTACGGGATAACTAATCACAGCGCTTGGCGCTCACTTTGCCCTCTTCCTGCGTGGAGCTCAAAGTTCTGGCTAGAAAAGGGTAGAGACCATTACCCCCATTTCATAGATGGAGGAAACTGAGACACAAAGAGGCAAAATTGAAGGCCAGGCTTTGAGTCAACAGCAGATCCTGCAGCGCTGTTTGTGTTGGCTTATGTAATCAGCCACCCCCGTGTGAAATGCAGTTTGCAAATATGACAACTGCACATACGATCCGACATTCCCATTGGGGGGACTGGGTGATGAGCAGCACTAATCTCGAAGACAAACAATCCCGCGTGGTTTAGGTAACTCGCCACAGCAGCCGGCATGTCCAATTACAGCCTTGATTGTAATATTCACAAATTTGTATTTCACGCTGCGTCGGTTAGTTACATAAGGCCTCCAGCCAGCGAATGCAGACGAGGACACGTGATTTGTGAAACCCCGGTGGGAATGTGACAACTGAATGTCGACTTTGAAATTCACCTTCTGAGAATAGTCAAGATTAAAAATGGCTCGTTGGAAGCAGAGCTCAAGTGTTCGCTCTTGCCAGGGATGAACGCAGCAGCGTCACACGGACGATTGAAACAAGATTCACTTCTGAACTCAAATGAATATTTGGGGAGTCGAAAATGTTCACTGTTTATAGGGCTGTGCACAGCATGGCTACTGGTAGGTAAGAGACATCCAAAAGAGCAGCTCTCTACCACTCCAGATCGTGGAGGCTCTCCATTCGCCGTGTGCAGTATAGGGCTTGTGCCACACAGGTGAGCAGTTCTGATTCTATCCAGCAGAGGGCAGTAGGACTAATACATGCAGGTCAGTCCTTATCTATCTCACAGGTGTGGTGTGTGGATTGAAGTTTTCCTCTGGTGTTGGCAAAGTGTGGAATAAATTCTGAATATTATTAGCGCTCAAGGTTCAGACCATCACATGCAATACGATACTGGGACAGGGGCTTCTTTGCTGCCCGGAGATGTGATCTCTGCCCCAAAGAACTCACAACTCATTATATTCGTGCCACCAGCGAGCAGTGGTGGAAGTAGATTTTAATTCTTACTGGTACACATAGGCGACTTATGGGAGGGACACAAAGGGGGGCACCAGCTAAAGGGGGGGCATGTGACCTCCCCACATGACCCCCCATGGGACTCCTCCCTGCCCGGGGCTCCCACGCTCTCCCCGTCCCTTCCCCATCCCATGTTACTGGGCGGGGGGTGGGGGAGCTCTGTCCTGTCGCTGCACAGCGGATACCGATTTCTGAACCACAGGGCTCTCCCGGGAAGCGCAGAGTTGAAAGGAGCAGAACCCGGGGCCACCAGCAGCTCCTCCGGCGCAGCTGTACTGCCGCCAGCCCTGTCCTGCGGCGGGGCTGTACAGACCCCAGACAGGAGACGCAGCCATGTGGAAGGGCTGGCAGCGGGGCGGGGCGCGGTACCAGCGCACTGGAGGAGCTGCCGGCGGCCCCACGTTCTGCTCCTTTCGCCTCCGCGGTTCCCGGGAGAGCCCTGTGGTTCTGAAAATGTGTCTTTCCGGTACAGCATACCGGCAATAAATATCTTAATGGTACGGCGTACCTGACCGCACCGGCTTCCTTGCCCCACGGCCAGCGAGAGTCACAAACAGCAGGGGTTTCCTATGCCACGCTCCTTCGGCAGCAGCGACGTGTCTCGCTGGGCCCAGCAATTGCTTTGGATACCTTGTAAGCTCGTATTGTTCTTGCCCTGCTTCCCAGAGGCCGCAGTCAGAATCCGGGCCCAATTGTGCTGAACGCTGCACATGCAAAGACCTGGGGCTTGAGTCCGCAGCGTTACAAGGCGGTAAAAGTTCTGTAGCACCCGCCCGCCCTGCCCCAGAGCCATACGAAATCTCGCAGCGTGCAACGGAGAAGCAAGCAGCAGCGTTAGCCGCAACGTTCGGAAGCGCCGAATGACCATTCCATTGGAAACCCTAGTTAATTAATGACACGCCCAGCCTCGTGCTCCGGTTCACCTGGCCCGCTCCAGGGGCTGCAGTCACAGAGGACACAGGGGTGCACCCCGCAGCCGGGCAAGTTAGCTTTGCTTCCTCGCCCCCCGAAGTGCATGTGGCTCTGGCCTTGGGCTGATTGGCAGCAATCCCTGACAAGTTATTGTTTTTCTACTGGGAACCATGCAGCTATAGCATGCCCCGGTACTACCTTGTGCTGGGATCCTGTCAGCTCTCATAAGCTAAGCAGCGTCAGACTGGGTTACTGTATGGATGGGAGACACACAGGACCTTGATGATCATTCAGGAGTGGTTACTGACCAGTAGGGTGTTTGGGTGGGTGACTCAGTAGAGGGTGCTGTTCCCTTGGAGTGCTTGCCCCAGTGTTGGTACTAGGGGGTGCTTTGCCCTCCAGTGACGCCCCCCATGCCTAGGGGGTGCTGTGCTGCAGGGGGGAGTCAGTAGGGGGCCCTCTGCCCTCCCAATGAGTACTGACCCCTGATGTGTAGGGGGCTGCAGCCTTTTGAACAAGGCAAAGATCCAGTGGCATTTTGCCCAAGACCCACATGCTGACCTTGCGCCTAAATGCTCCCTGCCCGGTGCTGCTTCCACTGGGTCTGGGATTCTGCTGCCCCCTGGTTTGCTCCCGAGGGGTACAGCTCAGCCCCACCCGATGGTGTTTCCAGGCCAGCCCCTGGCCCCGATGTGGCAAAGTGGGGCCGTCCTGATGCCGTGGGGCTGTGACATCCGTCTTGGTGGGGCAAGGCCACTGGGGCAGCAGGGCAGCTTTGTACAGCACCCGGCACAATGGGGTCAGCCTGGTACATAACTGGGGGGTGGGGCTAAATGCTACCATAATATACACAAGAAATGGGTACTGACAAAATCCTGGGGGCCCCCCATCCCCATAGCAGGATCCTATGGTCTCCTGCCCCTAAAGGGCCCCCAGGGGAGCGCTGATCTGGGGGGTTAGGGGTCCCCAGCCCCATAGCAGGATCCTATGGTCTCCTGCCCCTAAAGGGCCCCCAGGGGAGGGCTAGTCTGGGGGTGGGGCGGGGCCGTCGCTGGGGCCGGGCTCCGTCTGTAGGGACCCCCCCGAGTCGGGCCCCTCCCCAGCTGCGGCTCCTTGTCGGTGCCCTCCCCGCTGGGGGGGGCTCTAGGGGGGTGGAGGCGGCCGGGCGGAGCCTGGCGCTGGGGGCTCCGGCGGGGGTAGGAGCCGCCGTGCGGGGGAGCGCGGGGCGGGCGATGGGAGCGAGCGGAGCCGCCCTGGCCCGGGACGGGAGCGGAGCGCGGAGCCGGGGGGCGCCGGTGAGTGGCCGGGAGGGTCCCGGGGCCGGTGGGTCGGGGCGGTGGGGGGGAGAAGTTTGGAGGGAGTTTTGGGGGGATGCTGGGGGCAGCGAGGTGAGGAGTTTGGGGGCTGTTGGGGGAAGGAATTTGGGGGAGTTGTGGGGAGATGTTGGGGGAGGAGTTTGTGGGGAGTTGTTGGGGGATGGCGGGAGGAAGGACTTTGGGGGAGTTGTGGGGGGATGGTGGGGGCAGCGTGGGGAGGAGTTTGGGGGGATGTTGGGAATGGTGGGGGAAGGAGTTTGGGGGTTGGGGGAGGAGTTTGGGGGAAGTTGGGAGATGGCAGAGGGAAGGACTTTGGGGCAGTTGTGGGGGGAGGAGTTTGGGGGGAGTGTTGGGAGGATGCTGGAGGCAGTGGGGGAGAAGTTTGGGGGATGTTGGGGGGGATGTTGAGGTGGGGGAAGGACTTTGGGGGAGTTCTGGGGAGATGTTGGGGCGGTGTGGGGAGGAGTTTGGGGGAGTTGTGGCTGTGGGAGGCTGGGGCATGGTGGGGTGGTGGGGTTGGGGGGCTGGTGGAATGAGTGGGGGATATAGAGGTCCAGTGTGTCAGCAGTGAATGGGGTGGGTTGTTGGGGGAAATGGGGTGAGGGTTTGGGGGATGTGTTGTGGGGGGATAGGGAGTGTTGGGGGTGGTTGGGTTTGGGGCCATAGAGGGGTGAGGTGAGGAGGTGGGAGGTGAGTTGTGGGGGCATGTTGAGGGGTGGTGGGGTTGGGGGCCAGGATATTGGGGGTGACTGGTCTGTGGGGGGGTAGGGTGAGGAGGTGGGAGGTGAGTTGTGGGGGGATGGGGCATGTTGGGGGGCAGTGGGGTTGGAGGCTGGGATGTTGGGGTGAGGACTGTGGTGAGCGGGGTGTTTATGGGCCTTACTGGGCAGTGGGGGGGACTGTTGGGAGAAGTGGAGGGTTGTTGGGTATTTGGGGGAGGGGGCAGTAGAGGGCAGTGGGGTTGAAGGCTGGGATGTTGGGGTGAGGGGCTGAGGACTGCGTTGAGCGGGGTGTTTATGGGGGTTACCGGGCAGTGGGGGGACTGTTGGGTATTGGGGGAGGGGGCAGTGGGGTTCAAGGCTGGGATGTTGGGGTGAGGGGCTGAGGACTGCATTGAGCGGGGTGTTTATGGGGGTTACCGGGCAGTGGGGGGGACTGTTGGGTATTGGGGGAGGGGGCAGTGGGGGCATGGGGACGGTTCACACCACGCTGGGCACTGCCCTGCTGCCCTGATTGCTCCATGTCCCCAACCCCCAGTGGCGAGGTCCCATCCCCAGAGTGCTGGGAAAGTGTCTGGCCCCTCGCTGGGCTCAGGAGGGTGACTTACAGAGGAAGCAGCCCCTGCCCGCTCTCCCTTTGGGTTAAAAGCCGCAAGGGGCCGACCCCTTCTGTGTGACCTGGGCCAGCCAGGCCTCTCTTCCCCCAGCCCTGGCCTGCCCTTCTAGCCTGGACAGCTGCTGTGGCATATGGATCTCCGTCCTTTTGGCAAAGCGCAGGGGTGCGTGTTAGGGGAGACGTCCTCTTTCTCTGCCCCCTTCCCATAGGGCTGCTTCTCCTGTCACCTTTGCTGCCCTATGCAAACTCCTGCGGTCTAGCGTGAAAGGCGGGTCTGTGGTTAAGACACTGGATTTGGACTGCGGAGAATCTGGTCTCAGCTCCTGGTTCTCGGGCGAGTTGTTGAGGGCCGGACTGGAGTCCTTCCATTTGCTCGGGTAGGGGTTGGATCCTCCCCTTAGCCTCTCGCTCCGTCCCTCGGTGGAATGTAACGGCCGGGCTGGAAAGCGCGTCTGCAGCGCAGTCCTCCAGAGCAGAGAGTCTCATTCCGGAGAGCATCGTCCGGAAGCTTCGTCTGGGGAGTTACGATGGGAGAACGCCAAGCGTGGGGCTGGCAGGGTGCCCGGAGAAGGCTAGGAAAAGCGCGTGTAGGGGGATGCGTCAAATGCACCCTGGTCTGGTTTTGGAGGAGCTGGCTTTCACCTCCGCTCGATGGGGAGGGCGAGCCCTCTCCTCTCCTCTCCGGCTCGCTTTGGCTGCCACGAGAATGCGTGGTTATCGCTGCGTTGCAGCCAGCCCCGGATTTCGAGCCGACGCCAGCTGCGCCGTGAGCTGTTCCTTGAGCCCAGCATAATATGCCTGTTTGCGGCCGGAGCTCGAAGGTCTGAAGGGATCTGTAATGTGATTCTTGGATTGGGAAGGCTGGTGGGGGAGGGGGGAGAGCTGTGACCTGCTCATGTTGATGCCAGCTGGAAGGAGGAAAATCTCACAGTCCTTCCTCTGGCTTCATGCTTTGCTGCCCAGCAAGGACACAAGCACCCTCTTCCCCCCCCAGTTGCTGCATTAGGGCCTGATCCCGAGCCCAGTGAGGTCACCGGAACGGTGGCCGTTAACTTCGGTGAGGCCCGTAGGGCGGGCGGTATGGGAGTGGGTAAACGTGACCGGATTCCCACGTGTGAACGTGCACATGGGATCCAAGCCACGAGCATGAGAGAGACATGCAGCGAGAGGCAGGCCTCCCCCCCCAGTGCGTTCTGATTAGCTGGGGAGGATGTTTTGGTGTGACGTTGGAGCCATCGGCGTCGACTTGAAATGGCAAATGGTTTGTTATTGCAGGGCTTGTGAGCTGATCTCATCTGACTTTCTCCTGTGCAGACAAGCTTCTCCAGCGGGTTGTCATTCCTTTCTGAAGGCTGGCTGCTTTCCCCTTCTCATTTCTCCTGCCCGTGTCTCTTTCTTTCCCCCACCGCCTCCCTTCCCTCCAGCGGGGTCACGTCACTGAGGCGTGCACAGCAGCACCCCAGCTTTCGGCTTCGTTGGCAGGAGCGTGTGACGATGCCTAGAGGAAACCTCGGCCCTGCCCTGCTCCCAGTGGCATAAATTTCACTAGGGAACACGACACCCACTGTTTGGCAGCTGTTACATTAATTGCTTGTGTTGTACTTTGGACTCCAAGTCTGGCGGCTTGGGTGGGGAATTCAAACTCGGAGCAGCGGGAGGTGTAGTAGGATCAGTGCTGTGTGGGAGAACTGGTATCTCCTCAGCTGTGTGGAAAACCTGAAGGTAGAAAATAGTGTGTGTGTGTGTGTGTGGGGGGGGTATGTACACGTGCGTGTGTGCTTTGCTCCTATGCTTGGATTCTCCATTCTAGTATCAGCAGGGTTATGAACATTGACCAGGCACCTCTGAGCCAGAGGAATAAACCTAGTAGCCCTAGGCAGAGAAGAAAAACCAGCGGGGAAAAAGCTTTCCCAAGCAGTTTCAGAGTGAACTTGACATGAGTCTTGTCAGTTTCCCTTCTGCCTTGGCCTTCTGAATAGCTGTTGTGATACTGACCAGAGTCTTGTGAGTTTCACACTGCTGCTGCTTCAGAAACTTCTGAGCAGCTGCAGAGGAGAGCTGTCTGTCTGCAGACTCAGGGTTCATCAGGATGCTTGGAAGGCTTTCTTTGCAGCCATAAGGGATAGAAACTCACTCACAGGTTCCAAATTCATTCACACAGCACACATTAAAATCTGACTAACCGATAGGTCTCAAAATGCAACAGGGAATCATCGCTGACTGGGTCCGTTTCCGCTGGAGTCCTGCAGGGGTTATTTCTTGGTCCTACGCTATTTAACATCTTTATCAATGAGTTGAGAGAGAACATACAATCATCACTGATAAAGTTTGCAGATGACACAAAACTTGGGTGAGTGGTAAATAATGAAGTGGACAGGTCACTGATTCAGAGCGTGCGATCTGGATCGCTTGGGAAAGTGGACGCAAGGAAACAGTTTGCATTTTAATGTAGCTCGATGTAACTATCCATCTGGGGACAAAGAATGCTGACCAAACTTATAGGGTGGGAGATTCTATCTGGGGAAGCAGTGACTCTGAAAAAGATTTTGGGCCGTGGTGAGTAATCAGCTGAATGACTGCGATCCTGGGATGCACAAACAGGTAGGGTGACCAGATGTCCTGATTTTATAGGGACAGTCCCGATATTTGGGGCTTTTTCATATATAGGCCCTTATTCCCCCCCCCTCCCCCGTCCCGATTTTTCACACTTGCTATCTGGTCACCCTACAACAGTAGTTCCCAAACTGGGATTCGCGAACCCCTGGGGGTTCGCAGAATGTTACAGGGGGGTCGCCAGAAAAATTTCACTAATGGCGGACAGAGGACCCTGGGCATTGGAGACAGCAGGTGGGACCCAGTTGCAGGGCAGACACCCTGAGTCCCAGGGAGAGCGGGGCCGGGCAGTAGGGGCTGGCAGCCCGAGCCCTGCCACCGGCAGCGGGGGAGCTGGCAGCCCGAACCCCAGCCCGAGCCCCAGGAATTTGCCAAATCTCATCTAAAGCCAGAACCACGGCCCTCCTTGTTACCACCAGCCACAACCTCACCCGAAACTAGAGGTGGGTGAAAAATACCAAGCATTTTTCCCAGAAAGTTTTGAATTTTTTTCACATTTTTCAAAATTCCCCAAGAAAAATTTACAAAAAACTGAAATGGAAAAATGGTCCATTTTCAAAAACTGTTTTCATGAAACATTTTCTGATTTTTGAAAACCAAAAATGAATTTATTTTTATTAGAAACCATTTTTAAAAAAACAAAAGCCAAAAAAACATTTTACAGAAACATTTTTGGTTTCTGTGTTTGTCAAAAAAAGTTTCAATTAAAAATATTTTTCAGAGGTTCATAGATTCCGGGGCCCGGCAGTTGGGGCATCCATCACACTGAGGAAATTTAAACTTAAATCCCTGAAAATATTCATTTTTAGGAGGGGGTTAACGAGATTTCACAATTTAGTGAAAGGGGTTCGCGGGCTGTTAAAGTTTGGGAACCACTGCCCTACAAACAGGGGAAGCAGAGGGAGCAGAGAGGTTGTTTTACCTCCGTACTTGGCACTGGTGCGACCGCTGTTGGGATCCTGTGCCCAGTTCTGGTGCCCGCAGTTCAAGAAGGATGTTGATCAGTTGGAGAGGGGTCAGGGAAGAGTCAC